CCCGGCTGCACACACTGCAGCATTTCGCGCGCTCGCGCTGCGGCCCGCCCCGCCGGCCCTCATCTGCATATCCCACGATCGCGGCCAATCAGCGCTCGCCCCTCTGGAAGCGGATGGCTTTTGCCGGAGAGGAAAGGGAGTGGCTGGCGGCGCATGCGCGGCTCTGGCTGACTTGAACCGAGGCTTTTATTGCTGTAGTTTATTTCCACCCCCTTTCCTCCTGTTCTCTCTCTCGCTTTCTTTTTTTTTCCGCCCTAGCTGGGGCTGTGTTGGAGGAGAGGAAGAAAGAGAGACAGAGGATTGCATTTGTCCCTTACGTTCTTGCAATTTGCTACCAGCAAGGCCAGCTAAGCGGTTGTACCTTTTTCAATTCTGCAAAAAAAAAAAAAAAAAAAAAAAAAAAAAAAAAAAGAAAATACCAAGTCCCCTTCCCGGGCAATTGTTTGCTTTAAAGCTGCCCTCTTGAAATTATTTTTTTTCCAAGGAGAGAGATGTCTTATCAGGGGAAGAAAAATATTCCACGCATCACGGTGAGTTTGGTACTTGAGAAATCGGGTCGGAACCTTTGGTGGCACAGAACGTCTAAGGAATTTTTAAAGAGGAGGAGGAGGGAGAGGGACCTAACTTTTTTTTTTTTTTCCTGTTGCTTAACGGTGGTGGTGGTGGGAGACGCGATACTAGAGGAGAAGCAGCCGCATCGTTTGGGAGGGTGAGTGCGTGGAGGTGGCCTTAGGGGCGCGCCAGCACCGCGGTGTCCTTTCATTGTCAGCGCGGGATGCTGCAGCGCCGGCCTGCGGCTGCCAGCAATGGATGCCAGATTGAATGTGCACGGTCGCAGCTCCGATATTGTTCTCCGCTGCGTGCTGCGAGGCTGGGCTCCTCGAGCCGCGGCGGGGAGGTGGGGACATGGCTCCTCCCGGTGTCTTCCGTCCCCACCGTACAGGGCTTTCTGGAGCCTTCTTCCCGCTGCTTGGAAAAAGGAGCGGGTTTCAGCCCAGAGGCGTCATGACAGCAGAGGGATGCTGGAAAGGGCAGGGGGTACCGGAATGATGTGGAAACGGGAGGGGAGGCCAAACGGACGCGGGAGGAGCACAGGAGGAGGGGGGGGTCCAGGCGGGGGCTTTTTGTTGACCGGGGGCCGGTTTCGGTTGGCCCTCTGGGTTTTCTCGCCCTCCGGTGTGGGGCTGGGGCCCTAGCGGGGCTCTGGGCTGGCGCTTCTTTCTCTCTTCGGCCCCTTGTGTCTCCGGGAGGCGTCCGTGTGGGCGCGTACACAGCGCGCCGCGAGGGTGGGCGCACGCGGGGACCGCGCGAGCCGGGCTCCGAGCTCATGGCGCTGCGCGACGCGTCCAGCAGATGGCCCGGCCCGGCCCGGCCAGACAATAATCGCGGCGGCCACGGGCGGCGGCGCAGGTCTGGGGCCTGGGATTGCTCGTTTGTAAATCACGGGAAAAGCTCTGTGCCATGAATTGGCGATGTTTCTGAGGCGAGCCGCGGTCCGTGCCCCTACCCCTCCCCATCCCCTCCTGGAAAAACCTCGCCAGCCTTATTCGCGGCATCCCCAGTGAAATCTCAGGGAGGGCCACGGAGATTCATTGTTATATAATGATGTGCAATTGCAGATGGCCAGCTGAGTCCCGGGCAGATAGAACCCAGGGCAGAGGCAGAGAATGAAAGACTCTTTCCAATGGTCGAGATGTGTTTTCAGGGCTGGGTTTGAGGGCGCGCTTTCGCTCTGGTTCCCTTTAGCCACGGGCACCCTTTCTTCCAGTCTGTGCACAAGGGCACACCCATCCGCAGGAGAGAGATGTGGGGACGAATGCACAGGGGAGGGGCGGAGGCTCGGGATTTTCTAGGATGAGCTGGGTTGTTCTGCAGCGAGGCCGGGTACTAGCTCTTTCTGGAAGGCAAAAGAGTCAAGATCCCAAAGGGCTAGCACGAGGGACCCGAGATTATGTGTTCTCTGCGCTGGAGGAGGAGCCTAGGGTGTGCGGGTGGGGTGCAGATTTGCTGCAAGCCTCAAATAATTTGCTGTCTTCATGAATGAACAGGGCAGTTTCGTTTTGACAGTATGGGGAGAAAAATGAAATTTAGAAAGCAAACGACCAACAAGACTGATTTTTCAAAAGAGCGCCCCCACCACCCATTATAAAAATCTGGCTTTATTATTCTAGGACCTATAGCACAGTCTCTCTCCCTCCATCATCACTGCCAGCCTCTTATGTAAGAAGCCTTCTGGAAAGCACTAGGGTGAACAGGGCTGTGATGCTTCGCTTGGTGTGATGTTGGCTCCGGGGATTCGCAGGGATGGCTGGGACAGGTACCACAGTCACAAGGGAGCAGGTGCTGAAGGACAGGGCTTATTCTTGTCCCCAGGAAGAAGGGATCATTGTAGGCATAGGAAAGTGCACTGGATTAGGCGATCTGGGACAAGTGGCTTAACGTCTCTGAGCCTCAGTTTCCTTGTATCATGGGAATAGAATCTACTTCCATACACCTCGCAGATTTGTTTTGAGGCTCCAGTGTCATAATGTACATGACAGGATTTTGGAAAGATGTTTACATTTACCTTATATGGTGAAGAATTGTTGTTGACTATTCCCTTTTGACTTTCCAGAGTCAACATCAGGATGAAGGACACTGTACAAAATTAAAATGATCTTATTGTTTTTCAGTATGTTAGAGCAACAATAAAAACAATACTTTGTAAACCCAGGTGTGTGTGCATTTATGTGTATCTCTTTTCTTTGCTGTCTAGTAGCTTATATATTTTTAAAAGATTTTCTGTAATTCCCTTTTCTTGGTAGCTGCTAAATATAAATGGCACTTACTGAGAATATTGTTTTGTAACTGAATTTTGAATTAACCCTTGTCAAAGTGGATGGCATCCTTTGAAATGTGTTGCGTATTAAAAGGGCAGTATTTGGCTCAGCTTGTAAGGTTTAAACCCAGTTTGGAATAATACAGGTGCACAGTCACTGAACACAGGCTTTTAACATTCCATTCCATCAATAGTGTTGGGGATAGTGATGAGTCATAGTGTACATTTCTGTCGCATTCTTGACACTTATGTGCTGCCTATTTATTTTTTGCACAAATACCACCAATTAAAATAGCAGTGCATCAACAACCCATAGCAGTGTTAGATTTTAGAATTTGCCATCTCACATACTTTATCAAAAAACTACCTTTTTCTTAACAGCTTAGTTAAAATGGTGTATTTTTTGTAGTCTCCCCCCCACCCCCACCTTTGCTACGTTTGTTGTGATTTGTCTCAAAGATAAATGCAATATAAAGGATATACTGAATCGAAACCTTGCTAGGGCTGAACCTAGTGTGTTTGTATAGGGTATCCCATGACAACAGAGTTTTGGTCATTTCCCTGACATAAACCTTGCCAAGACATGGCTTTCCTACATGTGGGTGTTTTTTTTTTTTTTTAAATGAGGTTTAGCCAAAAGCCATTTTAAAAGTATTGTTTTCTTTATCTGAAATGTTTTCACTTCTCTTCAGTGGGAGTGGATTTTTTTTTTTTTTCCTGAGATCTAAGGTCTAATTGAAAAGAGATGGCTCATTTATCTAGAATAAACTTTGCAGTATGTTCTGACTCCTCAGGTGATGAATAAGTTGCTACATACAGGTTTACCTTTGTCACCAGACTTTTTCAAAATTGGCTCATTTTGAACATCACTTTTGCATCGTGAAAATGTGTCCTTAGCTCATTTATCTTAGTAGGTTTGTTATGCATTGTGACTTTAATACCTCTTTGTTTCAGAGTGACCGTCTTCTTATCAAAGGAGGTAAAATTGTTAATGATGACCAGTCGTTCTATGCAGACATATACATGGAAGATGGGTTGATCAAGTAAGTGTAACTCACTATATAGAGATGTATGTGCACACCTTCCAGTATCCCCAAGCATTAGCCACCATTCACACACATTGGCATCAAGTTTGTGACTTCAAAGAGTGAGCACCTTAATGTCTATGTTAAACCCATTTCATTGGTGGTAATTAGTGAATTTGAAACCTCAGATTTAGGGAATTCAAAGCCAAAATTAAATGCATACCCATTTTATTAAGTATTATGTAATTTACATTTTTAACTGAGATGACACGGTATCCTCTTGTTGCCAGGTCAAGTACCTGGGTTTTGATATGTTGAAGATATGAGAGGTTTTTCTAGAGTGTGATTGTTTGGGATGGATTGGCCAATCAAAGGACGTAAGTGTGGAATACAGCCTTTTCTGTCAAGAGAGCACATCTGCTTTCTTAATCAAGAGTTCAGTTTGGATGGGCCAGAGAAGGACACCAAGTTAATTACCAAGTAACACAGGCAGATTACCGCCTAATCCTGAGGGAATTTTAGGTTTTATTCTTAAATGGCAACTAACACAAATAAAACTGCTCTTGTGTTTGTGTATTGTGTTACAAACGAGAAAACACAGAGCGGTTACTAAGTTGGGGTATTTTCGGACTCTAGAGGGTTAAGTGAGCTGAGCACATACCAGTATCCTCATGCCCTTCCTACTGGGACAGCTCAGAGGGCTCTGGAGAAATAGCACATCTGTTTAAAGACAAACACTGCAGCAAATGACATCTTTTAAATAAGCAGCATTCATCAAGTGCTAGAGGCAAGCCAGTCCGGAGGAGTGGAAAACTGGAGTGGATATGACTGTTGCCTGGAAGCTCACACCCTGATTTACGAACCTAAAATAGGTTTTAACATTTCCACATTTAATGTTTTCTCCATGTGTGTTTGCTTGTGACAGTCTCGGCCCCAGGCTGTCTAATGCTGTGACTTTCATGTTCCGTTTTCTCCCAATTACGAGGCAGCACGATTTGGTCTAGCAGAAAGATGCTGGCCTAGAAGTGAGCAGCCCTGTGTACTATTTTTAGGCATCACTAATTTGTTCTAGAACTTTATCAACTCCTCCTTGATTAATTTTATTTTTAAAAGAATTGGTAGGAAGAGGTAGTAGATATATATTTTGTTCGTTTCTTATTTCTTCGTTTCTTTGTTTAGAAATATTTTTTAAAAATTGGAAATGAATCTTGTCCCCCAATATAATGAATATTCGTTTTTCTGCCTTTATCATCTGAGTTAATGAGCACACGCTTCCATGGTTTTAAATTGTTGCAGTCATACTGTTCACTTTTTTTTGCTTTGTTTTATTCTACCCTCCCACCCCTATTTTCTCTTTATTGAAAATGATATGGTGAAAATAAGTGTTTACTAAGTGCAGCCAGATCTGGAGAAAATTGCTGTAGGATAATTAGCTCAACTGTGTGTATTGTAAAGAAGGTTTGGTGACATTTTATGTAAATATCTTGGGGCCCTGTTATAATTTAGTCCTAGGGGTCTCTTGGTAACTAAGCCTCTGAATGGGGCCTCTGATGCTTTATTTAAATTTTGTTTTCTAATATACTCTGCATTGCTTCTTAGATGGGGATAGGGAGCAGGGGGTACTTCTGTTATGAATCATCACAATAATCCGGGAAGTCCACGGCACACATGGAGGATAGTTCATAGCTTAGTGGAAATAGCTGTGAGATCCCATTGGATTCCATGTTTCATTTACAACCTGTGTCACCAACCCTGTTTATTTAGGCAAATAGGAGAAAACCTGATTGTGCCAGGAGGGGTGAAGACCATCGAAGCCCATTCCAGAATGGTGATCCCTGGAGGAATTGATGTCCACACTCGCTTCCAGATGCCTGACCAGGGAATGACGTCTGCGGATGACTTCTTCCAAGGAACCAAGGCAGCCCTGGCTGGGGGAACCACCATGATCAGTAAGAAGTTTGAATATCACCATTGTGGCGCTCGGCAAACCATGATAGTTTGGAAATGAGTCTGTGTGTGTTTGATTCTTTCCTTCTGAAAGTTGCTGAACTGAGCAGGGGTTTCATCTGCCAAATAAGGGGTGTGGGTGGGTTAAAGATTTGCCTTATTTCCTTATTCTAATTTTCTGTCTTTGAGTTCTTCAGTTGAACTTGAGATCACGGTTCTAGGGAATGTGGCTAGCAGAAGAGGAATGGGTTCTTGCTTTCTCTACTTGAGGACTTCTGTCTTTCTTGACCCAAAACTGTGATTTGGTTGTGAAAACCCAGCATTTGGAGTCAGCTTCAAAGCTACCCACTGGAGCCTTTGCTCCTAAGTATTCGATTTTGGTTTTTTAAAAAAAAATTCCTAAGAGTCCTTCCTCTAGAATGAGGGTGGGGTGTAGGAGATGAGATGTTGAACCAGGAGCCTCTTCCACTGATAGGAAAATCAGATGGTGGGAATACTTTCTGGCCTGGGGTTGACTTAAAAGGAACTGGGCCATTCTGCTTGGAGGAGGACCACGGGTATTAACTGTCCTTCAGAGGTGACACTTGCCGGCACCCACAGCCGGGTGCCCTTTGCCTTTTACTCCAAGGCCACTGTGCTTTTTGTTCAGCAAAATCTAAAGTGTATTCACTGGACACAGCACGCGTGTTAGAGTTTGTTTGTGAACTGTCAGATTCCAGTGTGCCTACCGATTGTCCTCTTGACAAATGTCATTTGGTTTTTGGGGAAGTGGGCAAGCCACGCAGTGGTTTGTTAGATACATATTTCTTTAAAATAGATTTTTATCTAAGTGTGAAAGTCAACATATAGTCTGTCTTATGTGAAAAGCTAGCAGTTTGTTTCAAAGTAGAAAGAACTTAGCTATTTCTGCTTTAGAAAAACCTATCTTACTGATTATTCTTCAGAGTGATGGTCTTTTTACCTGTGGGTTTGGAGTCTATCTGGATGCTTCTTTTCTATCTTGCCTGAGCTAGGGGATGCCCTGATGTTGCCTCCTGGTCTGAGTTCCGCTGCGTTTTAAACCACACGCTCACCCTCTGGCGTTCTCTCTGCCTGGTCGTCAGTGTCTGAAGCATCAGGGACAGCTCTTGAGCCTGCAGGATTAAGCCTTCTCTCCATCTTGCTGCGCACAGTGCCTTCTAACCTAGTGGGTGCTCTTCTCAAGGGGGCTCCTTCATGCACACCTGGTGACTAGGGCCAGTGCAGAAGCCTGTGCTTTGTCACTTGTTCAGGACTTGCTGGCGTCTGTGGTCTATTCCACCCCTCCTCTAGGTAGGCTGCAGAGGGACACTTGAGCTTGGAGAAGCACAGACTGCTTAGATGTCGACCAGGAAGGCCCAGCCGAGGTGATTCTCTGCTTGCAGTTCAGATGGAGGCTCTGTAGCTCATAAGAGTGTCACTAAGCCATAGATAATATTTCCTGAGTGAGTAGTCAGTGATGTGTATCATTGGCAGGGTTGCTGAGTGGGAGCCCTCTGAGGGAAAAATGCCCCCAACCGGGAGTCAGGAGTTGTGGTCCCCTTCTGACACTAACTTGCTATGTGACCTTGGGCAAGTCACCTTACTTCTCTGTGCCTTAGCTGCTTGTCCTCACAAGGAAGGATTTGCACCAGACAACCCTGGGAGAAGTCTTTTGTAGTTCCCACACTCAGTGATTCACTGAGCTCAGCGAGAGATTTTGCCTTTAATCAGATGCAGTGTGCTCAGCAGATACAGAGGGGCCCTGTTCCTATGAGACTCACTCAGAAGGACCCCATGGGTCTGCTTTCTCCTCCCTGAGCTCCTGAATGTGCCCCTTTACTCCTCACATGTGACCCTTCCTGGGGCCACACTCTGCTTCTTGTCCCTTCCCTCCTTGCCTCCCTTGCTGCAGGGGCACAGCCTCTTGCTGTCGTCCTGAGTGTCTCTTCGGCCTTTTCCCTCAGTGGCTGTGGCCTCCTCTCTGTTTATGCCAGATGGTTCCTTCTGTACAGGAACGGGAGATGTCTTTGTGAGTCCTGCACCCGGGCCAGGGAGCCCAGAACAGTCAGCAGGTGGCTTTATGTGCAGGTTGTCAGGACAGGGGCGTGACAGGGGTGTCCAACCACCTGCTGGGCTTAGTTGGACAGAAGGCGATGGCATTTCCATGTGGGCTCTGCGAGGCAATCGGGCTAAAGAACAGGGGAATTTACTGAGCAACCCCGAAAGAATAAAGTAATCAGAGGTGGCAATGCATGGTCAGAATTGTTACACCCTAAACTCCATTGCTTTTGGAGCTTGCGAAAAAGATTAACTACTGCAAAAAACCACCCGTGGTTGCCGACTGGCCTGCCTTTCCCTAGGGAGATGACTGGTAATGAGACAGATGAGGAAATCAGAATTTTTTCTTTTTCTGCTTGTGGGTCATCTGTTCTGCATTGCTTCAAGTGAGTGAGTGGCTGGGGCTTGCTTTGCAGAGAAGAAAGCCTTTGAAAGAGGGATAGCTTCATGGGACTTTGGTACCTACGACCCACTCCTTCCACGAGATTATAGCTTCTTTAATGCTTATCGAGGCCAGAAAGAAATGCTCAGGGTGTTTTGAGCAGATTGAAGTGAAAACTTTCTGAGCCCACTTCCGATTGCTGCAACCAGCAATTGAGGTGACTGCTGCAGAGGCTTCCCACTCCCTTCTCCCTCCTGTCTTCTCTCTCCAAGCAAAGTCACCTGCACTCCCAGGTGAGTCTCCACCTGCTCCTTGCTGGCTGTGTGTTTCCCAGGTCACAGGCCCCAGAGGCTCCATTTCTGTCTGAGATGGAACTGCCTGCAGAGGAAAATGCAGCCGAGTATTCCCAGTTTAAAAAAGGAGATGACACATCAGCAGCAGAAAATAATATTATTGCCGTCAGACAGAGCCTGCTATTGAAAACTGTACAATGAGATCTTTGTGAGGGGGACTCTGCGCAGGGCAGGGGGAGTGCACTTTGCCCTTTCCATCCAGTGGCGGGTGGGCAGAGACTCCAGACGTGCCCTCCAGGCGGCATCCAGACTGGCGGGGGTCATGGAGGTGGCAGGGTTGCTGCTTGGAGAAGCACTAGGACTCCCAGGGGCTTTGTGATCATCAGGGCTGTTAGGACTGGAGAGTCCCCAGGAGGCAGGTGGGAACAGTCACCTCCACTTAATGGAGGGGAGGACTGAGGCCAGAGGTCAGATTGAGGCCAGAGGGACAGGTACTACCTGCCGACACTTACCCTGTGCATCGGTGCAGGTGGCAGGTGTCAGATGTGGAACACACACCAGCAAGCAGCCCAGGCCCTACCACATTTGACTTATCTGCAAAATGGGGAAAGTTGTTACAGAGGTGGATGGTGGTGGCCTCAGAACAGGACCTGGCCCGTTGTCAGCACTCAGACGTGGTGGTTACTGTCATTCCATCCTGCATCGGGTAACCGTAACCTCCCATCTCTGTTACATTTGGGGGCTTTACTCTCCCAACAGAGCCAGAGAACAGAGGCCTGACTTGAATATTTGCTGACAGCAGGGGTTCTCCAAGTGTGGCTGATGGACTGTGTGCCTCAGTGTCACCTGGGTGTTGCATCTTACAACATTTGGCTTCCTGGGCCCCACCCAACCTATTGAAGTAGTGGGTCTGCTGATGAGACCTGTGAATCTGTATTTTAATCTGGTTCTTGTCCAAAGCACTTGGGGAGCTGTTTGAAAGTAGAGCTCTTGGGTCCGTGCCAGATCTAGGGGCTCTGGATCTCCAAGGATCAGGAGCCGCTGCTCTGAATGCCATCTCTACTATCCTGAACTCGAGGCTTTCCCTGGAGGGTGTGAGGCTCGGGCACAGCACACCCAGGGAGCTCCTCCTCCCTGAGCGGAGCATGCAGCGCAGCAGAGATCAGGACGTGAGCTGGGAGAAGGTGAGAGGGGCTGCCCCGCAGGGTTGGAAGGGGCCCTCCCTCTTGGACTCTAGACTTGTTACTTCTCCCTGGGTGTGTCTCGGGTGCCCCCACCTGATGATCTCCAGTCAGACTGAGCCCTTCTCCCATATCCCTGCCGCTTTTCCAGCGCCCGGTGCCAGAGAGGGTTGCCCTCGGGGTCACACGGGCTTCAGCGTACACAGTCACCCTGGTGTGCGTCCAGTGGGTCTTGTCTCTGTCTCCTCTCGCTCCTGTTCCTTCCCACCCACGCATTCAGAACTTGGCTGTCCCTTACTGGATTTTTGCTCTGGTGTCCTGCTCTGTCCCCAAGCTCTTTCTCCAGCACAGCTTTGACCGTGCCGCCTCCTTCCTCCAAAGCCTTTGATGGCTCCCTCTGGCCTAGAGAATGCCACCTGAGTGCCAGAGCCCTCCGCAACGTGGCCTAATCCTGCTGTCTCAGCCCAGGCTTGCACTGTCATCTCAGACAGGGACGCCCTTCCTTTCTTTTCTCTGCCTACGTGAGTCTTCGTCACCATCTGAGGCCCGGCCTAGGTGCTCCCCCCTTCACCAGGCACCTCCTCCTCCTGGTCCCCGTAATTTATTGCAGCCACTTTGCACCTTGACAAACACTGGGCTTTCATTCCCCAGGCCTTGTGGCTTCAGCCTTGCATTGCAGATCAGTCAAGCCCCCCCTGTCTCTTACCTTTTCGTATCCCCACTCCCCAAGCAGTGTCTCACTCTCAGGAGGCACTCCATTCATGCCACAGTTTGAATGAATGAATAAATAAATACACCAACGAGACTTGATTTCCTGCATTGTCTGAGTGATGTCAGAGGACTGAGCATCATGGAGAGGGGAGGAGGGTTTGCAAGTCTGATGTTAGCTGTGTTCACCGGATGGAAGAGCCTGCTTCCTCGGCTGTCCCTCTTTCTGCTGCCCCAGGGTCCCCAGTCACTGCATGAGGTCAGCTCTGGCAGCAGTTGGAGGAGGAAGGCAGGAGGGGAGCCCAGAACCCAGGCGTCGGGGACGGGGACTGCTCTCTGTCTGGGCTATCCTTTCAGAGGGGCTGTGCAGCAGCTGTCAC